CAATGAATGTTTCTTCGAAGGGACCATCATGCATGCTAAAGTGTGGAAAACTGTTTCAAAGGGGACCCTTGTCCAGTCGAAGCTAGCACAAAGGCAAGCAATGCCTTGTGGGTGCTAGCATGAGGCAGGTCAAAGCAAGCATAAAAGAGGCCATTGCCTAGTGAATCGAATCAGGAATGGGGGAGGTATTTGCCTTGTGGGTCGAAGGAAGCTTTTTGCCTAGTGGATTGAAGGAAAATCTGAAGAAGTTCTGGCCTTGTGTGCTGAAGGCAAGCTGAAAAGGAGCCTTTTCCTTATGAATCAAAGCATGTCTGAGGCAACCCTTTGTCTTGTGTATCAAAGACTAGTAAAAGGGTCCTTTTGCCTTGTAGATCAAAGGCAAGCTGATGTGTCTTTGCCTTGTGAGACCAAGGCAAGCATGAGGAAGTTTTTGCCTAGTGGACCAAAGACAAGCATGAAGAGGCATACATGTGTTGATGATAAGCTGGAGGGGCCTTTTTCCCAGTGGAAGCTTTGTGAACTAAGCTTGATCGAAGAAGATTCATCGCCTAATCGAAGCTTGTGGGCCAATGCTTGTTCGAAGGGTTTTAGGAGCCCGGTAGAAGCTTGCTGTTATGCCAATTGAAGGACACTGTTCAATACCAATCGAAAGACATTGTTGAACTGCCAATTGAAATACACTTTGCTAACATTCAAATATTTCATTTTCTTTAGGCAAGTGTTTGTAACCACCCCTATAAGAGAAAAAACCTTGGGAAACATGAGAGGGAAAATTTTAGGGTACAACACACACCAACAATATACTCCACGTGATAACATAACACCATAGGTTTTAAAATAAATCAAAGACCCAAATCAGAAACACATTAGCTCACAACCAATGCAATATGCCCGATAACTTTAGACATGACCATTACCCACCCTGTCGTAAATAATCAATACTCCCCCTCAAGGGACCACCTAAATAACAATATGAATTTCCAAGTTCACACATCAGACAAAATATCACAACATTTGGTAAGACATCACACATATCACCATCAACAACAGCAGAAGCACCCTATAACATAGGGAACCAAACAAATCCTGATCATCTTCAGGTGGTCTTCCACATCTTGCCCATATCAAATAACCACACTTCTTCTCTTCCAATTGGCTATGATGTCAGTTCTCTTCATATGCAAAGCTCTGGCGATGACTTTAGGCTTTGGAATCCTTCTAGACCGGTGAACGGTATCTGATCAAGCACGGGCACCCCTAAGAGTAAAGAAAACTCTTCCAGTGTAGGTACTAACTGATAGTCCAGGAAAGTGAAACAATGATGTACGGGATCAAAGAATTGGAACAACACACACATCATCTCTTCTTGGAAACCGGATGTAGCCAAACTGAGGAGTCAACAAGAGCAACGAGAGAGAAAATGACAAGTTCTTTTACTTCAAGGGTAGAACAAGGTTTTTTTGTTTTTTGTTTGGAATTTATGGATTTCTATAAAGGGGTTCCACATATTTCTTTTCTCTCTTTTTGACGATTCTCTCTCCAAAAGCCAGCCCCTTGCAAGTGTGATGGAGCCGCTTATTTATAGATGAATTTGTTGTGGTTTTGGGGGGAAAATAGATGGGATTTGAACTTTTGGCACACTGTTCCATTACTTTTTGATCACATCTTTTTGTATTTGGTGCAAATACAAGATTTGGGAAAATGCAGGCGTGGACTGGATTAATTGCTGGTTAGAGTACCATACTGTAGCAGCGCAACAAGTTGTTTAAACGAGGTCTTGGGATTTGGTGATGTTCTGATCGCAGAAGATAAAAAACGTAACCTTCAAATTCTGAAGGGGCATGTTCTGACCGGAGCGTTGAACATAACCTTCATATGCTGAAGAATCATGTTCTGACTGAAGCATCATGTTCTGACCAAAGAGCACCACTTCTACATGTTCTGATTGAGGCGTCATGTTCTGAACCGTGTTTGCAACTTCTGACTGCACTTGCATAAAGGCTGGCTCAGAAGTTCTGAAGTATCACATTCTCTTAACACTTAGAAAATTTTCCAAATGTTTAGAAATTTGATTTTTTTGATTTAAAAGTCAGAGTTTGACTTTTTTAGTGTGCTTTTGACCATTTTGCCCTTATGGATGATTTCCTTGAAAAGTGATGATTCAAGTCTGGGAGCTTGATAGAAGCAAACCTAAGAGTCCAGGATGATCCTTTGAGAAATGAGAGGGCAAATTTTAGGGTACAACAGGTGCTATTGTAAAGTGAGACAATTTTAGATTTTAGGGTGAGGGTTTTGGAAACCCTTGCCAAATAACACTGATACAATGTTAGAGTTAGAGTTGAAGGTGTTGATGTGTTTAGATTCAAATTTGAATTTATTTGGCATTTTAGAGTTGAGTTTGAGTTATGGTTAAAAGAGTTAAGTTGTGAGTTATTTGATGAGTTAGAGCTAAGTTTGAAAATCAAACTAGTTGAATTTTAATTAATTGAGAATTTAGAGTCAAATCTAAAATGTTTAGAGTTGTTATGAGTTAAATGAGTTAAGGTTAAAGTACGCCTTATAACTCTTAATTTTGAATAAATAATGTTAAAGTTATTGTGAGCTCGATTGAATTGAGAGAATACCTTGTTGAGTATTGATGGTGGTGTGTAATGTTGTTCTTACCCTGTTGATGAACCTTGTTGAGTATTTATATAATATTATACTATTATGCTGAGTTATGATGAACTTGTTGAGTTATGTTGAGACGTATGATTTAGAGATGGACTCACTGTCGTGGCCTTTATATTGGCGATGTTTATGTTGAATTCTAGGTTTACAGAGGAACTAGTGTTGTACGACTTTGGTCCAGTGTTAAAGGACTTCGGCTCAGTATTGAAGGAATTCAGTCCAATATTGTGATTGTTAATTGATAATGGGAGTGGAAGGTTTGGATGGGGATTGTTTGCATATGTTTGTAGCACTATGCATCATGTATATCAGAGCATCATGTATATCAGAGATTAGTTGTTGACTTTAGCCCAGTGTTGTAGGACTTCGGTCAAGTGTTGAGGATCCCTCAGTACACGACTCTAATATCCAGCATTGTAGGACTTCAGTCTAGTGTTGTAGGATGATACCACATACATGGAAGTAGAGGAAATACATATTGCATAATACTTTGTATATTTTACATTTGTGGTAACTTAATATATTTGATATGTGATATCCTTGTTGTTTTATGCACCATTAATATATGTGAATGTATTCTTATCCTCAGTTTGTTCTATGTGTTATCTTTACGCATATGATGATGATACTCAAGTAGAGGAGCCTTAGTTGTTGCTTATGTTGGAGGATGTCATAATTGGCATTCTTCGTAGTTTATCGTTTTGCATTGTTTAGTTTTCGTGTATTGCTTTGATAGTGTAACATTGGGCTGAGATTATTTGATTATATTTTCCTACGAGTTATTAAGTTTATCTGATTAACTATTTTATGATTAAATAAAATGATTTTTTTTCTATGAGACAAATTGAAAATGTGTTAAAGTTTAATTTCGCTGCTATAATATGATGTTTGAGAAGGTTGTTTTATGTTGAGAACACGTGACATCATTTTTGAGTAATTATTTCCAGTGTTTTTATAAATTAAGTGCTTGAGATTTATTTTATTACACTAATTTTAATCCAATTTTTAAGAAGTGAATTGAGAACTCCTCTATTAATAAATTAAATCTATATCCTAAAATGATGATTTTGTATTGAATATCAATCTAAAACTAATTTAAAACATCCCATTAAATTCATGTTTATTGCCTATATAAAATGTTGGTAGATTCCATAAGATGAAGTTTATGGAAATACCGACTAATATCTATTCTTTCAAAAAATTTGTGCTCATTTCATTAAAAATTAAAATATTTAACCTTTTTAATAATATAATTTGATTAAGAATTTTCAATAAATCCAATGGGACTCTTGTATACGACGTTCCTAATTCTCCACAGTTTTCTTGTTACAACTAACTGAATCCAATTCAAACTATTCATTTCAATTTCAACCCTAACTCTTAGGGTTTCCATTTCTCTCTCCGATTTCGGTTTCAAGATTCTCCCTTTCACCTTTCCGCTCTCCGTTCTCCGCACTCCACTGTCGTTTTGGGAATTAATCTTGATTTTCCTCAGATCTTCGAGGTACAGAAGCTATGTTTATTGTTCTTGTTATTTGCAAAGTTGTTTTTGTTAATAACAATGATGATCTTGATGTAGCTGCTAGATTGTGTTATTCATAATCTTGAATTTTTCATGCTTGACTATTGGGTCAATTTTTTAGAGTAATTGTTATGACTTTGATTTTGTTAATTTAACCCTGATGAAGTTTTTCAAATTCTGTGAGGATAATATTTTTTAAAACATTGTTAATTAGTAGATTAAATGTCTAAACTGGTCATTGAAAAAAATTATATTAAGATTTAGTTGACCCTGAGTCTGTTATGTGTAGGAACTTTCCGCTACCGTTTAGCGGTGACTAATCTTTGTAACCGGATTTTCTCCATAAGCAAAAGTCAGGGGTCGAACCTCTGATCACTTGTTTAAAAATGCTACCAATTTGGTCTTTAAAGTTCTTGTATGTTGGTCAAATTAAAATTTTTTAGAACCAAGTTAGTACTTTTTATTTTTCGGAGATCAGAGACTGCCATTGAAGGAGAGATTACGTGTTTAGGTTAAGGGTGCAAATCTTAAGTACATAGGGTGTACTCAATTTTGAATCACTTGATTTTCTTTGTTTGCATGTGCACACCCTAGCATGGGGATGCTGATGTATTGCCTGTGTAACTGTGTTGGTTTTGGAAGATTGTTGGGATTTGGGTGGGATGATTGAATGCTGAAAAATTATTTTGATGCTGTATTATTGTGAAGCTTGTTATCGTAGTAATTCAACTAGCTAACACATTGATTTTGTTGTATCCAGATCTACATAATCTAGTTGATACGATATTCATTTTGAAGAATCAATTTAATGTCTGAGTCAGAAGCTCAGCCTCCGACCAACTTTGGTAATGTTGTAACTTCCTGATAAGTGTTCACAGTAGGGATATATCTAGTTAGACATAAATATTAACCTTTCTTTTTTAAGAAAAATAAATCCTCCTTGCTTGACATTTGAATCTTCTAGTTCCGCTTTCTATTGATACTTTGCTTCACCATGTGTGCATATGGCCGTTCATGTTTGATGCATTTTTCTGTTTTCAGTTAGCATATTCTGTTACTCTTGTGTTGGCGTAGTCTTAACACGGTTTGGATTCGGAATTGAAAATTGTTTTATATAAGGGTTTCATATTCCCATTTAAAATTTAATTCAAATTTGTGCATTATATGTTTGACAAATTAAACTAGTTATCTTTAGGAAACTGGAAAAAGTTTGCTGAGGAACATCATTCTACTTTCTTGCAGTTTTTTAATCTAATATGCTTATGATAGTTCTAATGTTTGCCCTTCTTTTCTCTATTATAGTTTCCGATGTTCTACTGTGGAAGCGGTGGCAAGTTTCGTTCGCTGCCATTGTTGTTTCTACGGTTGCCTGGCTCTTACTCGAGTGGACTGATTTACCATTCTTAACAATTTGTTCAGATGTCTTGCTGCTTTTGATCGTACTATTGTTTCTGTATTCTAACTATGCCACACTTAGAAATAGGTATGATAAGTAACCCTTGTTGTGCTTGTATTATGTTTTTCACAATTTTAAAGCTGACACTATGATATTGGTTATCCTTTTCTCTCTGAGCAGACAACCACCAACATTACCGGAGCTAGTAGTGTCAGAGGAGATGGTTAGCAACGTAGCTGCTTCATTTCGGGTGAAAATCAATAATGTGCTTCTTATAGCTCATGACATCACTATCGGCAAGGATTTTAGAGTATTTTTTAAGGTAAGTTTTGTTTCAGGTTACAATGTTTTAGGGATTGTTGATGAGGGAATTATTATCTAAATAAATACTGATTACTTTTCTAAGGTATGGAAATGCCTTAAATAAGCCTAACCTACTTTTACAACAAATTTCCTTAAATAAGCCTAACCCACTCGGCTTTACCTGCCATTTTGTAATGCTCAACCTAACCTTATTAAGCCTAGCTTATCCCTAAAGCCAAATTTTTAATGTATAGGGCCTGTGCCAAGGCGCATGCAAGCCAAACCCTCTTGAGCTCCTTGGCGCCTTGGCCTCTTCCCACGATATAAAAGGCATGTGCTCGTAAAATTTAGCAAGGATTGTATATAATTTGGGATGAGATCTTATGCAACACATAAGCTATTAGTATTTTCTATTGAAATTATTCCCTCAAATTTATCATTTGGTTTTCAACAATAACTGCTTTCTGTTCTGTTATGACAGAACTTTATGATCTACTATTTCTTTTTTTAATGATGACTTTATGATCTATCAGGACTATTTATGTCTCAAGTGTTTATTTTGCTACAACAAAGCAATTTTAACATTTAAAAATTATAACGTAGTAATTCTCCTTCTCACTATGTACATAATACTGTAAGGAATTTGGGAAAAAACATTATTCAGTGCTTATTTTCTGCTTAGCAGGTCGTGATTTGCTTGTGGCTCTTGTCTGTCATTGGAGGCATCTTCTCCTTCTTCACACTTGCCTATATTGGTATGTACATTGTGATGTCTAACCGAGACCTTTTTTATTGATGAACCGTAAATTCCGTACTAATCCATTACTCTTGTTCTCATATGTATTTTGGTTATGGTGTCAGGAACCCTCATGATGATTACGATCCCTGCATTGTACAGAAAATATGGAGATTATGTAGATAAGTGTTGCGGAGTTATCAACCACCAATTTTCAAAACATTATAGAATTGTTGATGAGAATGTTTTCAACAGACCGCCTCATAATATACCAAAAGACAAAGATTCTTGAACATCATCTGTGAAAATCAAGTATTCAATCTTGTTGGTATGCAAGTCTAAACTAGCAGGAGACAATTTTGTAGTTCAGATGCTGCTTGAACCAACTTTATGATAACTGTTTTCCTTTTCTGTACATTGAAATTGAGATTTCGTGAGCAAGTCTGTATAGCATATACCTTGTTGATATTGGAGCCGATTTTTTAGTAATCATTTGATAAGATTTGTTGGGAAGTTTTGTGTGCACGCATGGCAAAAAACAGGTGATGAATGACTGAATTGAGTATATTGGAATATATTGAACTTCATAATAATGTGTTATAATAATCATTTCAAGTTTATGTTTTTCAATAATGCATCTTCATGTGTGTAGTAAACGAACATGCAACTAGCAAATCCTGAAAATCATTTCTCATGCATCATTTCCATAATCAAAAGAGTCTTGCGTCCGCAGCATTCTTTATTTCCTCATGCATGCATACTTCCAAACAATCCTCTCCACTGATGTAAGTTGGTTATACTTAAATCTACTTTAAACTGCATGCATCTCATTGCTGTTAGTATGAAGGTTCCTACATCTACTTTAAACTGCATGCATCTCATTGCTGTTAGTATGAAGGTTCCTTTATTCACAGTTTTGTTCAGTCATCATTTTCCTTAGCATTCTACAAGGTTGGATAAGTTAGGTTCATCGCCCAATACCTTTTGTCTTCCTTGCTGCATCCCTTTTTTAAGCATTTGTAATCCAAACAATGGTTATGGTTTTTAGTATCTCACAATTATAAAAGTCAATGAAGATGACCCTAGGTTGATGTGGTCATCTCCTTGCTTGGTTGGCATCCTAAATCAACATGTATAAGCTTTGCAAATGTTGTTGCGAATTTCTTCTTTTTTGGATTTTCTCACATCAAAATCTCAAAGTTAGGAGGAGGTTTTCTTCTCTTGAGTGCTTCAAATGCGGAGTCTTTTGAAGCTTTTAGAAAGTCAGAAGAATCATTTTAGAATCAATTTTTTGCATCTGTCAATATGTGGTTACCCCCCTTCTTCTCCTTTAAGAAGGAGGCTTGGCTTTCTTGTAATGTGGTCATCCTCAGAAGGAGGCTTGGCTTTCTTGTAATGGTTTACCTTCACATGCCCGGACTAATGATATTTTGAGTGTAATGGTAGTATTTTTGGTAGAGTTGTGGAAGTAGAGAAAAGATCAAAGGAAGCTTTACACTTTAATAAAGGGAGGGTGAAAATAGTGCTTGATATTGGTCCTCCCATATGTGAAAAAATTGTCCTAGACATTGATGTATTAGTTTAATGTATGAGTTGTTGAAGAACAATAATGTTTCTGGTTTTTTAAGGTCTAAATGCTTTGGAGAGCAAGGTTAAATTTGACTCAGGATCTGATTCATGGAGTGAGAATCATGTTAATCCTTCTGCTTCAAACCTAGGGTTTATAGGTGAGGACCTTATCAATGGTGGAGGCTCTCTTGATACTTCTGTAGGAGATGGTGTAAAAGGTGGGATCGTAGATGAAGAAGTGCAAGGTACATTTCCATTTGCTAAAGGGTGGAAAAATGTAGATACGTGTCGAGTTGTGGATGGTGAAAAAGATAGCTCTCTTTTAGGTGTTTAGAGTATTGGTGTGAAGGTACCAGTGACACGTCTTTGTCATTCTGCCATGGAAGAGGAAAATAAGAAATAACTTGTCACTAGGGATTGGTAGTAGTTTGGCTCCTCTACCTCAGCCACTAGGAATTGTTACCAGCTATTTCATCTCTGAGGTATCAGAACCAGATCATGTGGACCATGTGCATGTTGATTTAGCTTCTCATCCTTCAGTGGAGCATCAAGATTTGGGCCCAGGTGCTTTAGACTCTCCTCGTGAAAATCGGGTGTCAGACTGAAGTTCAAATTCTATTCTAGATCAAATGACATTGTCTTTATCCACTCCTCCTCTTGAAACAAGTATTGCTGAACCTTCTACGCCTATACTAGAAGGATGCTTGAGTTCACAAGGGTTTTCTTTGTCGCCTTGCCTTTAAGGTGATTCTTCTTCGCTGCCTCATCATGTAGTGATTTTGATTCCATCATGAATAGGGATTTATGATGTTTTAGAGAAAATAATGGCAACACGAATTCTTATGTTGACAAAACAGTTAAGGTGTACTTTAGTGAAGAATAATGAGATAGTAGTAGCATAGTTAATTGATCTAGAAAAGAGGGATAAAACTTAAAAGCGATTTAGGTTATCTAGGGGTTCTCAACTATGTTAGTTTGTTCTTTTAATTGCAGAGGTTTGGGGGAGGATCAAGAAGAATAAATTGCGGAATCATATTAAGTGTATTTCTTTAGACTTTATAGCTATCTAAGAGATTAATCTCTCACGGGTTCCCTCCTTCGTGGTCTATTCCATGTGGGATAACCTATTTTGTGAATGAAGTTTTTGTATGTCTGTTGAAAGTAGCGGTGGTCTTCTCTCGATCTGGTATAGTTTAAAAGGAAGATCTCTATTTTCCTTCTCTGGTTTAGGATTCTTAAATGTTTGTTTAGAGCGGGGTCTTCTAGTTTTGGGTGTTTTGTGTTAAATGTATCGAATAAGATGTTTCATTTTTAATATTTAGCAGCAACTTGACAGCAACATATTGAACAAGATGTTTCAACTTGCGATTTTCAACATGTCGAATAAGATGTCCCAATAAGAAGGATAGGATATCATGTCTGCAGCACCTGACAGTTATGGTTCAGTTGATATGTTAGTTACTGAATATTCAGGAAATATTTAGTTAACTTATGTGGCGTTCAAGATTGACAAATCAGAGATCCTATGTTGGTTTTAGAAGATATGTAAGTTTTTAAATATGGAGACATTTTAGGAAACTAATGATTGAAGGCTTATTTTCTTGGAGAAGATTTTGCAGACTTTGTGCAGCTTCACTGTTGCGATTTTAAAGCCTAATCCAGTCTAGAATAATGTTATATATAGACTGATGTATACCTAGTTTTAGGTGGAACTTACGTGTGTGTTTTGTTAGGATTTATAGAGTCTTTATTGTTGGATTGTAAGTTCTGTCAAGCATCCATAAGCTTTTAAGCATTGGATGTTTGTGTGTCAGATGCTCATAAGCTTTTAATCATTGAGTATTTGTGTGTCAGTTCTCATAAGCTTTTAAACTTAGAAGATTGTGTGTCTTGGAAGAGTGATTTCCTATTTTTGTTCTCTACTGTATTTAGAGTTGCTCCAATCGCTGAATGTGATTGAAGAGGGATTTGAGGAGGGCCTGATACCTAAGTGTGTCTTAGGTAGAAGTTAAGCAAAGGGTAGTGATTAAGTGTGTAGATTGAAAACTAGTATGTTTGTTGTGTGGTCTATAAATTGATATTATCTAGTTAATTTTGTCCTTGATTTGGTAGCATATAGAGTAGGTGTTGTTGTCACCGAACTGGGTAAATATATTTGTGTGTTATTTACTTTCATCACTATTTGTTTTGTTTGTATATCCTATTGTTGCGTGTTGAAGTCAGATCTAGTGTCTCGACATCTCTTAGAACATTCGGGATCTGACATCCAAAATTTCAATTTGTATAAGACTGCTCCAAGTCCTCCATGCCCATGTTCATCTTCAACTTTTTGAACACATCATTTATGACTCCATATGTCAGAAAATTATAAATTTGGTCTCCACTTCTACAATATCTCAATCTTAACTTGCATTCACTAACAATCTCCCTTAAGTAGTGAAACTTCATCTTAACGTGCTTTCTCCTCCAAAGTACAATTAGGCTCTTAGAAAGATTAATAGTGGAAAAGTTTTCCACCAAGGGCGTAATAGCCTCACCCTCACTGTTTCCCAACTCTTTTAATAGATTTATTAGCCACACATCTTGGCACACACATAACGAAGCGAAAATATACTCAGTCTCACAAGACGAGACTGAAACTACTAGTTCTTTCTTCGAACACCATGAGATTGGTGTTCCACCGAACATAAAGATGTATTTAGCTGTAGACATTCAATCATCTTTATCTCCTCACAAATTAGAATCAGTAAAACCAAGCAAATTACATTTTCTGTCTGTATCCGCTGCAGGAAAGAGGATTACGCAGCCAAGCTCTCAAAAGATCCTCAAGTGACTGAATGTCCTCTCAGTATAATCATCTGTTTCTGGATGATAAGCAGAACTCAAATACAACTTTGTACCTAAAGCATTTTGCAAACCTTCCCAAATCTTGAAGTAAATCTTGTATCTGTATCTGACACAATGTTAGATAGAATACCGTGCAAACTGACAATCTTCTCAATGTACAACTTTATAATCTTCTCCATTGGATAATCCATTCTCATCAGAATAAAGTGGGAATTTTAGTCAACCTGTCCACAGTAACCCAAATAGCCTCAAAATTACTCGGTGCTCTAGGTAAACCAGAAACAAAATCCATAGAGATACTATCCCATTTCTATTCAGAAATAGATAACAGTTGCATTAAACTAGATGGTTTCTGATGTTCAATCTTCGACTTCTGACAAATAAAATAAGAATACACAAATTCTACAATCTCTTTCTTCATACCTGGCCACCAAAATAATTTCCTCAAATCCCGATACATCTTAGTAGATCTAGGATAAATACTCAATCCACTACGACGCCCTTCCTCAAGAATTCTCTTCTTCAAATTGGCTATATTCGAAACACAAACTCTATCAAGACATCTCATGATACCATTCTCATCAATCCTTAAATCGCCACTTCAATCTTGATTGATCAACGTCAACTTATCCACCAAGATCAAATCAGATTTATGACCTTCTCGAATCTCATCAAGAATGCCACTAGTAAGCTTCAACATACCAAGCTTAACTCCAGAAGAAGTCTCTTCACAAACCAAACTCATATCTTGAAATTGCTCAAGTAATTCCAACTCTTTCACCATAAACATCGACATGTGAAATGACTTCTGTTGTGCTCTAAAATTTTTCTTTCCATTTTTACTCAAGGCATGCACCTAGAGGTCCTCAATTGCTC